AAATAAATAAATAAAAATAAAATAAAAAATAAAAGTAAAAAATCCCTTCTGCAGGCAGAAGCCTGAAACTGAGAAGAATCTGCACTGTCTGTCAAGAGCTGTATATCCTTCCTACCTTGCAAGCATTTCTACCATTTTATAGATTTTGTAGATGAAGACAGGCTGAGGGAATTGCAGGGCCTGCCCAACACCCCATGGCCAGGAAGAAGAGCCAAAATGCAGAAACTGGTCTGATGCCAAAGCCTGTCTGCCACAGGAAGGCTGAGAGTCATGGCTGGGAAGGGTCAGAGCCGTGTCCAGACTCTTGATGCTGTGAAGCTGTAGCTGTATTGTAGGTTCCCAAATTTCACAGGCTTCTTTCACACCACTATGCAGGGAAGAGACGTCACCAAGGATAGTCTAACTGATACCCAATGGGAACCAGAAGGCAATGTCCTTGGTTTCAAGGGACACTGTATGTGTGCATGCATGTGTCTGTGCATCTGTATGTGTGTTTGTGTGCATGTATGAGTCTGTGTGAAACACGGATCATAAAGAGGGGAGAAAGGTTAATACAGGCACCAGACAAGAGGAGTTGCCATCAGTGGTGAGTGTTTATTCAGCTTATACTATGTTGCCTGGCACATTATACACTCCAGCTCACTGAATGTCATCTTGCCAATGACATGAGGTAAGTGGTGTCTTATGGATGAGGAAACTGAAGCTCAGAGGGGCCAGACTCTTATCATACAATAGGAGCTGGAATGGGAACCTCTTGGGGCCTCTTTCTGGCCCCAAAGCCTGGCTCAAATCCATGATGTCATATGCCACCTAACATCAGGACACTGTCACCAAGGGTAAAATCTAGGCACAGTACTAATGGAAGTGCCTCAGCTGGACAGTTCCCAGCCAGGGGTTTCTAGCTGCTTGCATCAGCACTCTACATCTTGGCCCTCAGGCCCAATCCCTACCCCAAGTGGTGAGCTGGACTCCAGGCCAAGAGCTTCACAACTCTAGCCCAGCAGTTACAGAGTTAGCTAGATCTGAATCATTAAAGGAGCACCTTCCTAGAGTACTAACAGAGGAGTTGGCACTTTCGAAAACAGCTTCTGAGAAGAGAAAATAAGCACAGGCAGTGGGGGAATTCCCACCCTGGAGATGTGCTGCAGTGGCCTGGGAGGGTATGACAAGATGAGGTCTCACACAAACCCAACAGGGAGCATAAGTCCTAGAAGGCACCTGTGTCCAGCCACCAGCTCTGCCTCCCTGCAGCCTCAGGGACTGGAGTTGTTTATTATCAGACAACACAATGCACCAGACAAGAGGAGGTGCCAAATTACGGGAAGAATGCTGGGACTATCTGAGAACAAAGAGGGGGAAAAAAAACACCACTCAGCCTGACAGAGACAGGAGGTATGCCTGACAAGAAAAATTATGGCCCAAAATCTGCTCCTCCCCAACTCCTTGCCCAGAGTAGGGGAATCTGCAGTTTTGAAAGAACAAGAACATGAGTTAAAGGATAAGAGGGAAAGAAACAACCCAACAGCAAAGAGAAAAGAAAGGAAGCCAAAGATGTAGTGAGCCCAGACGCTCTGAACACCAAGCTGTCAGGTCCTAGTGGCATATTCTGGTGTCTGCATCAGCTGCAAACTTCTTCCACCATCTAGCAGAAGTAACTCTTCTGTGGATACTGCATTTACTATCTTCCTTGGGGGCTCTTCCTTTTGTGATGCCTGAATGCTCATCACTGAGCATCTCACCCACTAGAGACAACAGTGACTCCTGGGGGCCGTGATAAGTACTAGTTTAAAACCGTTATTTGGTAATTAAAAGAAAACAAACTATATTGTTTTCCACAGGAAGTACTGAGAGTTCAGCCAAATCCTCTTGGTTCATGGTCTGGCTCTGCTGACCTGGTTGGGCAGTGCCTTCTATAGAGTGATGGTGAAGAAGTGGAATAAAGCTGCAGAGGAAGCTTCCAGGAGGGACTAAGCTCCTCCAGGAAATCCAGTAGCAGGATTTAAATTTCTGTTGTGAACAGAGGTAAGTACACCTGCAAAAGCACACGCTTTCCAAACTGGGCCCTGCTCACTGAGACCTAATACCCTGCAGGGTGCTGATCTCTGCCCCAGGTCCCCAGAAGTCAGAACCCCATCTTTCCTCTTACCTGAAAAGCCGCAGACACATCTTCTCCTGGGGAAACTCCTTGGGTCCCTCCACAGTGTCATCGTGGCTCTCAGTCTCCAGGTAGACGTCTAGGAGCACGCAGAGCCGCTGTAGTTGGTTGGTCAAGAGCTGGTGACTGGGCCGAGGACCGCAGAGCTCCTTGTAGCACACATTGACCTCACTCTCCATGGCCTGCATGGGTGGGAAAGCCAGTGCCTCAGCTCTAGCTTCTGACCATATAGGCCAGGCTTATGTCTCCAGAGGTATACAAGGGTACCACAAGAGCTGTGGCTGGTACGACTACTGTAGCTGGGCCTGAGATGGAGCTGGACTGTCTTGACTGGGGGACGCCACTCCTCAACACATTGGAGTCTTCTTCATTCTGACTCATAACCTTCCTTGCTTCAAATAACCACAGCCAGAGACAGATGTGGAGAGAAAGACTCTCAAGACCCAAGTCTAAAGGTGCAGGTGTAGGCGCTGGGGAGATGACTCAGTGGAATAAGCACTTCCCTGGCAAGTACAACAGCCTAAGTTCAATCCCCGGTTCTGACAAAAAATAAATAAATAAATAAATGAATAAATAAAAAAAAAAAATAAAAATAAAGGTGCAGGTGAGATAGGTCTATGCCAGAGGTGGCGAACCTATGTCACCGCATGCTGCAGGTTCCTCTGTCAACATATGAACCAACTCACCCCAGGATGACCATGTTGTGTTTTTTTTGCCAAACCGGGGATTGAACTCAGGCCCTTGCACTTGCCTGGCAAGCGCTTATTCCACTGAACCATCTCCCCGGCCCCTGACTATGTTGTTTTATTCCTAAACTAAAACCTCAGTGTTCATAGTGGCATGCGCCTGTAATCCCAACACTGGTAGGCTGAAGCAGGAGGATCATTTTGAGTTTGAGGCCAGCCTGGTCTACAAAGTGAGCTCAAGAACTGCACAGTGAAACTCTGTCTCAAAAAGACAAAACAAAACCCCCTGAGTATTCAGGTTTAACTACATTGATGGCATTTTGTAATTAGTGGGTTTTGGCTTCCAGTTTAGACATCTGGGTCTCTAAAAGGTTTGTCATCACTGGTCTAGACCCTTTCTTTTGCTATAGACCAATAGAGGGCCCGGCATATCTTGCATGTCTGGCCAGCCACTCAGTGCCGGGAAATGATGCAGGTTCAGCCACAATCCGTCTCTCAAGGGGGTTCTGTTTCTCTTATCATTCCTCTGTGGGACTTACCCGAATGTTGTCATCGTTGCTGTTGGTTTTCTCTCCTTTCCAGTTCAGACAGAGTTGGAAAACTGGGGGGATGGAGGAGTAGCCAGGGTTCAATACCACAGCAGCCTGGAGTTTGGCTGTGAAAAGGGGGAAAGGAGAAAAAAATCAGTCTGTTATCCAGCCTGCCGTCATGGCACTCTCCCCACCGGATCAGAGGCCAACTCCGTGTCTACTAACCCTAGTATTGCAGGTAGCCAAGTTAGATAAATACATTATGGGCAATCAGACTGAGCCAGGCCCTCAAAGGAGATAGCACAGAAGATGAGATGCCTTACAACTGTGGAAGAGGTGGATGCTCCTGCTGTGAACCAGACCTAAAGACCTAAAGGCCAAACAAATGCTAAAAGAGTAGCACCTGGGATTGATATTCTAAATAGGTACCAATCACCTGGAAAGACCCAAGTGAGTCACTAGTCCAACCCCCAGCAGAAAAAGACCCTGTCCCACATTCAAACCCCCAACAGGAAAAGACTCTGTCCCATATTCATGCCCCCTTGCTACGTGACTCACTTTCCCATTTGATACTGGATTTAATCAGTTTTACCTGAGCAATGGTGCTTGTAATTCCATTGGTTGACCATAGTTTTGTCCCACCTCCTGCCCACCTAAGCGAGTTCCCATTCTATCTTAGTCCCACAAGGTTTTATGCTATAAAAAGTCCCTGGAAGAGACAGTTTCCCAGGGAACTACCTGCTCGGGGCCCCCTCCTGTCCCTCTCTTGAACAGGAGTTTTCTTTCCCTCAATAAATATATTCTGCTCATAACCTCCTTTGATCCTAAATTCATTATTCGGTTTTAGAGAACATGAACTCGTACAGGTCAGGTTGGGAGATCATTTTTCCCTATGTCATTTAGAGGTTCCCTATATGGTTTGGAGGTCACCCACCCCAGATCAGTTTTTCTCCCTGTATCACTAGTACTACACAGTACACCCTGGTATCAATGGTTCTAGTCTCCTAAATGGAATTGCCAGGTTGCAGAATGTGACGTCTGGTTACTCTGGGCTCTCCAAGGACCTTCTATCTATTGTGCCACAAATGCACGGGCTTCTTGGCGGCTGGCCCACCTTTGGCTTGTCCACAAGTTTAATTTGCTGCTTTAAGTTTAGTTGCTGCTTCCTTATTTACCAGGAAGTTAAGGAATTTTCCATGTGAATTCTACTTTTTTTTTTTTTTTGAAATAGTGTTGCAGTAATTATTGTATCAGCAGTTATATCCAATATATATTCTCTAATATCTATTTATATATCTTATGTGAAATTCTTTTTTTTTGTTTGTTTTTTGTGGTGCTAGGGATTGACTATATGGGTGCTCTTCCACTGAGCTAGTACTTTTTTTTTGGTGGAACCGGGGATTGAACTCAGATCCTTGCGTTTGCCAGTCAAGCGCTTATCCTACTGAGCCATCTCCCCAGCCCCTGAGCTAGTACTTTTTGAGGTATGGTCTTGCTAAATTGTCCAGGTTGACCTTGAATTTACAATCTTCCTGCCTCAGCCTCTCAAGTAGCTGGAATGATAGGTATGTACCACCCTGCCTGGCTTGAAATTCTTTTTTCTTGTGGTACTGGGGATTGAACTCAGGACGCTGTGCTTGCCAGACAAGCACTTATTCTACTGAGATATCTCCCTAGCCCTTAAAATTCTTTTTTTCTTTTTCTTTTTTGCGGAACTGGGGATTGAACTCAGGCCCTTCCGCTTGCCAGGGAAACGCTTATTCCACCAAGCCATCTCCCCAGCCCCTCAAGCACTTGTTCTACTGAGCCATCTCCCTGGCCCCCACTGAAATTCTTAATAGCCAACATTTATTGATTCTTTCGGGTTCTGTGCTAAATCCCTTAAGTGCATTTTATCTCATCATAACAATGATTCTACGAGACAGGTATAATTCTCCTTATACCCATTTACAGATGTGGAAAGGGGCTCTGCCAAAATTTCTGCATCTTTAAACAGCTGCAAAGCAACAATGATGACATTAACCAGAACTGCTTGATGTCAGAGGTATGTTTATAATCTTTATATATTTTTTAAATTTTATTTATTTATGTGTGTGTGTGTGTGTGTGTGTGTGTGTGTGTGTGTGTGTGTGTATGTGTGTGTGTGTGTATATGTGTGTGTGGCCAGCTCAGCCCACCAGGGGGCGGGGTTGGCTGGCATTTGGTGCTGGGGGATTGAACCTGTGGTCCCTGTGCTTTGCTAAGCTTGTTCTAATTAGGTGCTTTAGACCACTGAGCCATCTCACCAGCCCCATATAATCTTTAAAATATCTGTATTGTTCATTACTATCTTAATTTTTCTTCTGGTGATAGCTTTTATCAACAAGATGACATCTATCCCCTCCATCAACAGGAAGTATCTTAGACCCTGTGATGGTTTGGATATGGTGTATCTCCCACAGGTCCATGAGACCTGGTGTGGTAGGAGTGAAAAGCAGCAGAACCTTTCAGAGGTGAGGCCTAATGGGAGGGAATTAGGTCTTGGGAAGAGGGTGCTTATCTCTGAGGGATTAATGCGGATTCCTAGGGCTCTGATTAGCCCAAGATAGAAAGCTGTTGTAAAAAGGCCAAGCCATAGCCAGGTGCATGGCATTATGAGCAGATGATGCAGGCGGATTGCAAGCAACTTAGTTCAAGCAACTTAGCAAGACCTAGTCTCAAAAGACAGACTGACTGACTGACTGATGTGGCTTACTCTCCAGTACTGTACTCCCCTGAAATGATCAAGCCTGATTCCTGAGTCTCTCTGGCTTCCTGTCTCACCATGTGATCTCTTTTACACATGATCCTACAATTGTGATACCATTCAAGCCCTATGCAGAGACCAAATAGATGAGGCCACTTGATAATGAACTTCCAGCTTCCAAAAATGTAAGGTAAAGGGGCTCAGTAGAATAAGCGCTTGCCTGGCAAACACAAGGGCCTGAATTCAATTCCCGGTTCCGCCAAAAAAAACCCAAAAAAAGTAAAGTAAAAAGCTAGGCATTTGGGGGTGGGGGGAGGCCTGTAACCTAAGTACTTGGGAGGCTGAGGTAGAAGGATTGCTGAGAGTTTGAAATCAGCCTAGGCTACAAAGTGAGCTCATGGCCAGTCTAAGTTGCATAGTGAGAGACTGTCTCAAAAAAGACCAAAAAAAGAAAACGGGTGTCATCTGCAGCCCAGCTGAAGGAGGAGCTAGGATTCTAGCAAAAGGTAGAGGGAGTCAGACAGTCCAGAGAACACCATTAGGACC